TCGCGATCTGTCGCGGCCCACCTCCTCCTGTGGAGGTTCATCCGCCTGGCCTGTCGCCCGTTGCGTGCCCCCCCCTTGCCCTATGTCGCGGGCCGTGCGGGGAGGGAACGCCATCGAGTACGGCGACGGCTTCTTCTTCTTCTTCTTCTTCTTCTTCTTCTTCTTCCTCTTCTTCCTCCTCCTCCTCCTCATGCCCCCCTTCCTTCTCATCATTTTCCTTCCGTTCCCCCCTCCCGCCTCCTCACCTCCTTCCCCCTCCACCTCCTCCCTTCCTTTCCCTCTCTACCCCTACCCCCCCTTCGGACATCTTCCATATCATCATGTTTCGTTCCTGCCGCCCCCGCCTTCTCGCCTCCGCCTCCTCCTTCCCCTCTCTTTACCTCCCCCTTGCCGGTCTCCCCGTCATCGTCGTTGTCCTCGTCCTCCCCCTCGTCCTTGTCCTGGCGATCGTCGCGGTCCTCCCCCTCGTCCTCGTCCTCGCCCGCGCTCTACTCCTCCACAGCCTCGTCCGAGCCCGCCGCCTCCCCCTTCAAGGGGGGAAAAACTACCCCGACTCTCACAATCGGCGGTGGACAAACCTCCCTGTAGGAAACCTCCCCTTCGCGAAAACGGCCCGGGACCGAAACCGACGGACCCGGACCCGCAAAAACGACGGCCGCGACGCCCTCTCGCGAACGAGCCGAAAACGGCCAATTCCTGAATCGACGTGCCAGGGTAGGAGGTCTGTCCACCCCTGACACAGTTGGCGTCTACTAAACGCGCTCTCCTCCTCCACAACCTCGTCCTCGCCCGCGCTCTCATCCTCCACAGCCTCGTCCGAGCCCGCCGCCTCCCCCTCAAAGGGGGGAAAAACTACCCCGACTCTCACAATCGGCGGTGGACAACCCTCCCTGTAGGAAACCTCCCCTTCGCGAAAACGGCCCGGGAAAGACTACCCCGACCCCCACAGCTGGCGTTCACTGCACGGCCCTGGGCGCTCACCAAACCGCCCTGCCCTTCTCGATCTCCCTCCCCCGGGTGCGCTCGCGACACGGCCTCGCCCCTCGCGGGGTGCCTCCTCCCGCCTCCCCGCCGCCGAGGCCGACGCGGCCCGCCTCCTCTCCCTCCTCCTCGCGCCTCGGCGCCTCCCCTCGGCCCCGCCCTCCGCCCCCTCCTCGCGCCTCCGCGCCTCCTCCTCGCGCCTCCACCTCCTCCTCCTCCTCCTCGACCTCCTCCTCCTCCTCCTCCTCCTCCTCCTCCTCCTCGCGCCCCCGCCCTCCGCCCCCTCCGCGCCTCCTCCTCGCGCCTCCACCTCCTCCCCTCCCCCTGGCGCAAGGCGCTGTCCGCGTGTGGCTCCGTCCTGGATGCTGCCATCCCCCCCCCCCCCCCCCAGGGGCCGTGGCCCCCGGGGTGGCGTCGATCCGCCTCCGTGCCCCCTTGGCACGCTGAGGCGTGCCAGAGTGCCACGTGCTGCCTGGCAGGGCTTCTGTCTTCTTCTGAGGGCTCCCCCCCGCCCCTCCGAGGCCCCGTCGAGTTGCGTGCAGCGCCCCCTCTTCCGAAGAAGGCGCTGTCGGAGCCCAGTTCCTGGCGCTCTCCGAGGCTCTGTCGGAGGAGGGTAACAGGCGAGGCCTTCCTTGCCAGCGCGGCCCGGAATCCTGGTGAGCGGCGCTGCCCGGGCTCCCCGGGGCGAGCGGTGGTTGTCGAGCGGCGCACTCCCGCCACTCACGCCTTGTGTGGCAGCAGGGGCGGGGCGGTCGGCGGCGGACAGACTTCCCTCTAGTAAACCTCCCTTTAGTGAAAACGGCCTGGGACCGAAACCGACGGACCTGGACCCGCAAAAACGACGGCCGCGACGCCCTCTCGCGAACCGAAAACAGCCAGTTCCTTAATCGACGTGTCAGGGTAGGAGGTTTATCTAGGGGAACAAGAAGTGACATAAACATAAAAACTCAGAGGTCCGCGCGGATTTCTCGGATCGGCGCTGGGGCCCCCCCCGCGGCGCCTCCGGCGGCGCCCCTGGCGCGCTCCGCGCGCCAGGGAGGGGGGTCCAGCGCCGATCCGAGAAATCCGCGCGGACCTCCGAGTTTTTATGTTTATGCCACCTGTTGTGTCCCTATTATCCACCCCCGACTTGCGTGGCAGCAGGTGGGGGGGGGAGGGGGTGTGTGATAGCAATGCCTGTTCCCCGTCGGCTGTCGGGCCCAGGCTCTCGCATGGTAGCGCTGAGAGTCGCAACGCCTGGGGGCAGGGCGCCGGCGGGCGCTGGCGCGCGCACCACGGGCGCCGCCGACCTGCGAAATGCGAAATGCGAAAGTGCAAGGCGTTGTTAAAACTAGAGCCTGCAGTGGTAAATTTCCGGAAAGGTAGCCAACAGATTCTCCACGACGCAAGGCGACTGTGCATACAAGCGCCCCACGCGCAACAGAAACGCACGCACACACATTGCGAGATGCGCAGCACTCTGCCGCGCACCTGCGCAGAAGTGGGCCACTGCGGACAACGCCATTCGCCACATGACGTTCCGGCGCTCTGCGTTCTGTGATGCAACGGCGTCGCGCGCTTAATGACGCGACGGCTCCACGCGCCACGTGGGCGCCCTGCGCTCGGACGCGCCTCCCAGGAACCCTCGAAACTGGCGACAGTTGCGCAGCTCACAGCCCCCCATGGAGATGCGAGGTCTCAAATGATCTGCGCCGCCGCTCACCTCCGCTGGACCTCCCAGGAACCCACGACAGTGATGAAGGTTGCGCAGTTCGCAGCTTTTCAGGGAGACGCGAGGTCCCATCTGGATGCTCGTACACCTCGACTCCGCCGTGCCTCCCAGGAGCCCGCACAAGAAGCGACGGCTGCGCAACTCTCAGCCACCCGAGGAACCGCGAGGTCTCGTCTGCATGCGATACGCTTCCACTCTGCTGGACCTCCCAGGAGCCTACGAACGTGGCGACAATTGCGCACTTCGCAGCCACCCATGGAGCCGCGATGTCTCGTCAAGATGCGTGTCAGCCTCCCTTCTGGTGGACATTCCAAGAGCCCACGAACGTGGTGACAATGGCGACGTTCGCAACTTCCCAAGGAACAGCAATCTCGTCTGGGTCCACGTGGCCACCAGTCCGCTGGACCTCCCAGGAGCCAACGAAGGTGGCGACAGTTGCGCAGCTCGCAGCCACCCAGGGAGCAACGAGGTCTTGGCTGGATGCGCGTACTCCCCTACCCCGCCGTGCTTCCCGAGAGCCTACAAACGTAGCGAAGTTGCAGAATTCGCGAGGGAGATGCGAAGTCTCAGCTGGGTACGCGTAATCCCCTACTCCGCTGTGCCTCCCAGGAGCCCACGAACGTGGCGAACTTTGGAAACTTCGCAACCGCCCCAAGGAGCTGCCAGGTCTCGACTCGGTGCGCGTGCTTGCCTACTCCGCCGTGCCTCCCAAGAGCCCACGATTGTGACCACAGTTGTGCACTTTGCAGCCGCCCACAGAGCTGCGAGGTCTCGGCTGGGTCCACGTACTCCCCTACTCCGCCGTGCCTCCCGAGAGCTTACGATGTTGGCGACAGTTGCGCACTTCGCAGCCACTCAAGGAACTGCGAGGTCTCGGCTGGGTCCGCATATTCTCCTCCTCCGCCGTGCCTCTCCAGAGCTCACGAAAGTGGCGACAATCCTCTCTTCGCAACCACCCACCCAAGGAGCTGCGATGTCTCGGCTAGGTCCGCGTACTCCCCTACGCCGCCGTGCCTCCCAGGAGCCATGAGGGCGGCGACGATTGCGCAGTTCGCAACCACTCAAGGAGCTGCGAGGTCTTGGCTGGCCCGGCTCCGCTGGACCTCCCAGAAGCCTGCGAACGTGGCGACAGTTGTGCACTTCGCTGCCATCCAGGGAGCAGCGCAGGAGGAGGCAGGAGGGAGGAGAAGGAGGATGAGGAGGAGGAGGGGGAGGAGGAGGAGGAGGATACGACGCTGGCTGGCGGACACCGCGCTCCGAGGTCAAGCCACGGGCGCCAGGCGTGCACAGGCGAAGGGGCAGCCCGAGCAGCCGCCCGAGGTGCCAAGAAAGACGGCGGCCCCACCCGAGAGACAGGATGAGGGAGGAGGAGGAGGAGGAGGAGGAGGAGGAGGAGGAGGAGAGGAGGAGGAGGAGGACGAGGAGGAGGAGGAGGAGGAGAGGAGGAGGAGGAGGAGGAGGAGGAGGAGAGGAGGTGGAGACCACGGTGCCCCTTTTCCTCTTCCACAGCGAAAGCCCAACACACAGGAGTGCTGGGAGCGGGCAGGTGCCACGAGATGCAATGACCCCCCAAGGGTCGGGCCAACTCCCCCCCCCCTCCCCCCCCTCACTACCTCCCCTCCCCTCCTCCCTCCTCCTCCTCCTCCTCTCCTCCTCCTCCTCCTCCTCTCCTCCTCCCCTCCTCCTCCCCTCCCCCCTGCCCCCCCTCCCTCCTCCCCTCCCTCCTCCTCCTCCCTCCTCCCTCCTCCTCCTCCCCCCCTCCTCCCCCCCCTCCCTCCTCCTCCATCCTCCTCCCTCCTCCTCCAAGGCGGTGGAATCCATTCCCCCTGACCATGGGCTCGGTGCTCGCTCGGGGCCCTGCGGCCGCCGCTGCGGCCAGCTTCCTTCTCGGGCGCCCTCCCGGCGACCCGCCTGGACGCTCGCTCGCTCGCTCGCTCGCTCCTGCCTCGGGGATGGACAGACCCCCCTTTAGTAAAACGTGGTTTAGTGAAAACGACCTGAGGCCCAAACCTGGCGGGCGCAAGCCTGGAAAATAACGGCCACGGCGCCCTCTCGAGAACCGAAAACGGACAATTCACTAATCGACGTGTCACTGTTGGGGGTTCTGTCCACCCCCGACTGCCCCCTCCTCTGGGGAGACCAAAAAGTTACCGATACCGCCACTCCCCGGACCTCCCCCGGGGTGCGGTCCGACCAGGATTTCGACGCGAGTCCAGCGGTGGCCACGAGGGCCTCCCAGGAGGCCCCAAAAAGGGGAAAACGAGGACAGGGTGGAGGTCTGGGTGCCTCTTCCTCCTCTGACCTTCGCCCCCTTCCTGCAGCTGCTCCGTGAGCGCCTCCACGGTGGCGGGCTCGTCCCGCAGCTGCAGCGTCTTGACGCAGCAGGAGCGGCCCCCCCTCCAGGGGCGCCTGCCCCCCCGGCTTCGACCGCGAGAGGACGGCGGGGAGCGTCAGAGACGAGGCCAAAGCGCTGCCAACGTTGGACGAGGATAGGTCGGGGATCTCTGAGGCCTGGCGGTCTCTGGAGGATGTATCGGGCGCCTCGGTCGTCCGAGTCTCAGATAGGGAGCCCATAAAGTACGTACGCGCCCAGCTATGTACATGAACGCGGCCCGTTGACCCGCGAGACCTGCCGCGCGATACGAACATTCGCGCAATGCGAACTCTCGAAACCAACGTGGATTCATGTACGTGTCCGTCCTTCTTTCGCTCCTGATCAGAGAGTTCCGGAACGCTCTGAAAGTGTTCCAGAGGGATCTGGAACGAGCTGTCCCAGTCCTAGCCCCGTATTTTTAGGGCGGGAGGGGGACCAGCCCGGGGTTGACCATCGAGCTGGAATCGGCGATACACCGCCGATCGATCGCCCATAGACCGGCGATAAGCACCATGGTAGCGAATCCGTACGCTCTCGGGCAGGGTGGGTATCGGGCCTTTAGTTATCGGCGATGAGCGGGCGATTGGGGGCCGATGCGGTCCCTCCTGGGCCAATCCCCCCGAACGTTGCCCCTGAGAGGAGGGGGAGGACGGCGGCCGCGAAGGCGACGAGGACGACAGGAACGCAGAGGAAGAAACGTTAACATGAACATGCGAAATATTTCAGAGGTCCGTGCGAATCTCTTGGATCGTCGCTGGGCTCCCCCTCCACAGCGCGCGGCCCGCGCCAGGGGCGGCGCTTGAGGCGCTGCTAACGGGGGCCTAGCACCGACCCAAGAGATCCGCGCGAACCTGCGGACATTTACTGAGCATTTTCTTCGGGTGGAGAGCTCAGGGTGAAATTCACATGGGCTTCGGCACCTCGCAATTCAATCCGTCTTGTGGTTCGCTTTTTGCAGATTCAAACACAGAAAATCAGTCGAAACGGCATTTCAAATTGTTGACGCTTCGCGTATCCCCACCAGCCCATCCAGAAACGATGCTCAGGGGAGTTGAGGTGATCAGGGAAGTCGGGGAGCATGCAGAATAACAAAGGGCGGGGGAAGCTGTCACAGACCCCGAGAGGGGGAGGATGGAAGAGGAGTCGTCGTCGTCGTCGTCGTCGGAGGAGGAGGAGGAGGAGGAGGAGGGGGAAGAGGAGGAGGAGGAGGAGGAGGAGGAGGACGGAGAAGGAGGAAGAATCGGAGGAGGAGGAGGAGGAGGGGAAGGAGCTTCTTGGGGGTCTTTTGAGGGCCTCTTGGAGGGCTTTTTGGGCGCCTTGGGGCATCTTGGGCGCCTCTTGGGACCCTCTTGAGGCGCTCTGGGGAGCCTTCGGGGCGCTTTTGGGGCCATCTTGGAGGGAGTCGATCAAACAAGAGGGGGGGTTTAATTAGCGTCCCCCCTCGGAAGCCCCTAAAATCGCCTCTTGGACCCCTCTTGGAACGCTCTTGGAGTGCTCTTGGGCGCTCTTGGGGCCGTCTTGGGGCTCTTTTGGGGCTCTCTTGGGGCCCTCTTGGGCCATCTTGGAGCCATCTCCAGGCCTCGGATAGCCATCGGAAGCGAAAAGGCGAGAAAGCAAAAATCATTGATTTTCCTTAGGTTTTGGGACGATTTTGGCCTCTTCGGGGCCTCCTTGGGGAGCTGTTTGGCCACTTGGAGTTATCTTGGGGCCGTCTTTGGGCTTCTTGGAACCATCTTAGGAGCCATCGTGAGCGATCTTGCGCTATCTTGAGCCATCTTGGAGCTCATCTTGGGTTCTCTGAGGCGCTCTTGGAGCCGTCTTGGGCCATCTTGGACGCTCTAACTACCCGCGGCCCCCCCCGTCCAGGTCCAGGGGAGGGGGTAGGGGGAGGGGTAAACCCCTCCCCAAGGGGGAAGAGGGAGGGGTGGAAGAGGATCTGCTCTAGACCACCTACGCCCAGAGGGCTGGTGGGATTTCACCCTTTGCCCTCCACCCGAAGAAAATGCTCGGACTCAAGTGTATGCCGCTCTCTTTCCTCGGCGGCGCGCCTGGGGCAGAGCGAGAAGGCGCAGGCCTTCTCAGGAGGCTCGGAAAACCTCGGGCCTTCCCCGAAGACACGAATCGGTCCTCCTCCTCCTCCTCCTCCTCCTCCTCCTCCTCCTCCTCCTCCTCCTCCCCCCCCCCTGGACTGCCAAGGTGGGCCGGGAACACTTCCTCGGGTCTTCTGACCCGGGTCAATCCAGACCCGGGTCAGCAGGAAACCCAAAAAACTGCAATGCAGGGAACAAAAACCTACAATGCAGGTCTTCGCAAACCTGGGTCAGCCAATATGCGCGGCCGCCTCGCGGCCACGAGCGGCTCGCTAACCCGGGTCAGCCAGAGGGGGTCTTCGCAGGATCCTGCAGGATCCGGTGCCCTGGCTGACCCCCGTTTGCATTGACCCCCGTCTCTGGAGCCCCGAACGCAGCCCTTATCGGAAGGCCGGGGGCTTCGGAGAAGCCCCCGCCGCCTTCTGAGAAGGCCTCCTCCCTCTCCCTTCCCCCCCTCGCCCGCCACCGATATTTCCCAGTCGAGGGAGCGGAGGCAGGCAGGAGGACGAGGGCGAGGAGAGGACCGAGGTGGCGTCGCGAGGGTCGAGGGCAGCGAGGGCGAGGACCTTCTTGCTGCCGTGCGCAGGCCGGGCCCCCCCCCTCCCCCCCTCCTCCCCTGCTGCCGCCAGGCTGCAGGAGCTCGGCGGCGGCGGCACAAGGCCAGCCCGAGGGGGAGGGAGTACTCGAGGATCGACCACAGAATTGACTTACCCAAAACGTACTTTCTCTGCCAATCTACGGAAAAGACTTGGAATTCCAGGTACATGTGAGACGAATCTACGCGCTCGTCGCGTATTCGATGGGGAAGATCAGTGCTGGGGCATATCAATTTAATCGATCCCCTTCTCGAAGTACGCCCACTCCCCCCTCGGCGAGGGGGGGGATAGGGGACTGGCGCGGCGGGCGTGGCGGCCCCACTCCGCGACGTTGTCGGATTTTCGTCCGGACGAAATTGGGACCAGACTCGGCCGACGCTCGTTACGGGTGCAACCGAATCGCCCCCTGGGGGTGCATCCTCGAATCCCACCAGCCCCTTAGGGCGCAGGTGGTTTCGGGAGCTTCCTCTTCCAACCCCGTTCTTCCCCTTCGGGGAGGGGTTCCTCCTCCTCCTCCTCCTCCTCCTCCTCCTCCTCCTCCTCCTCCCCCCCCCTACCCCCTCCCCTGGACCTGGGCGGGGGGGTTCGCGAGCGGGTCCGAGCACCCAAGATGGCCCAAGACGGCTCCAAGAGGGCCTCGGAGACCCCAAGGTGACCTCCAAGATGGCTGAAGATAGCCGAGGATGCCTCAAGATGACTCCCAAGATGCTCCAAAGAGCTCCAAGAACGCTCCAAGACGATTAAAAGCAAAGATGCCTCCGAGATCTCCAAGGAAGCTCCCTAAAGACCAACATCCATCCAATACCTACGGGAAACTAATGAATTTGCCTTCTCGCCTTTTCGCTTCCGATGGTTTTCCGAGGCCTCAAGCTGGCTCCAAGATGGCCCAAGGGAGCCCCGAGAGAGGCCCAAGAGAGCTCCAAGACGGCCCCAAGAGCGCCAAAGAGCGCTCCACGAAAGGTCCAGGAGGCGATTCGTGGGGCTCCCGAGTGGCAACCCTAATTGAAGCTCCCCTCTTCTTTGATCGATGTCCTCCAAGATGGCCCCAAAGGGCACCCAGGAGGCCACAAGAGGCCCCAAGATGGCCCCACGAGGCCCCCAAGAGGCCTCCAGGAGGCCCACAAGAGGACCCCAAGCGGCCCCCCGAGGCCCCCCCGAGGCACCCAAGACGCCACAGAGCCCCCCCAGGACCGCCAAGGGACCCCCACGACGTCCCAAGAAGCCTCCAACAAGCGCCCAAGAGACATCCCGAGAGGCTCGAACTGCAGCAACAGCCAGAGGAGAACTGATGCAACAGAAAGAATTCACTTGTAAATTACAGCAGGGGGATGAATTCGTCAATGTCAACAAACACACCCTTCTTGTCAGGGTGTAGGCCTTTGCGGAGCTTGCGAATATTCTTCAAGCCAGACTCCGTCGGTTGACCACATTTGCGGCCCAGGCCTATCACTTGACCACCACTGCTGTAAAACTTGCACGACATGCACAAAAACAAATGACTCTTGTCGCTGCAAGGAAACGCAATGACACGGTGTCCCTTGGACTCTAGGGCCCCTTGGTCCAAAGGGCAGGTCCCAAGGCAACCGCCGCCAATCGGTTTGGACAGGGCACGGGATCCACGAAGGCAGACTCTACAACGCCAAATGTTTCCCTGCGTGGTCCAGTCGTGGCATACTTCAAGCAACGGAGCGTCCGACGGCTGGGGCTTAGCAGCACGCTCTAGGCCTCGGAACTCAAGCTTGGGCCATAGCGGCAGGAGCTCCGCTCCTGCCAGCAAGACGAGACGCGCAATCTTCAGCCGTCTCTGCAGGGGTTCCTCTTCAGAGGGGGACCAGCTGGGGTGGAGCAACGCAGCTTCCTTAGCCGCGACGTCGGCGTGGTGGTTCCCAAGGCGCAAGAAGCTCTCTCGCGCGCGGAGCCCCTCATCATCGAGGTCACGGTGAGCTGCTACCTCAACAAAAGAAGAAACATTCGACCCACAATGATGGCGCGCTTGAATGATTAGGCCAGCGTGCTGACGCTTCCCAGAGATGGCGTCCGCCTCTCCGAGATTCATTAAATTCACCACATTCCTGCAGTCTGAGTAGCAGTCAGAGGGGCCTTCAGAATAAAGCCCCGTCCAGGCCAGGGCCCCAAATCCATAGCCTTGGGAGGTCTGAGGCCAAGGGGCCCAAAGAGGACCTTTGAAAACCCCGAGGCGCTCCCCAGCCTGAGAGACCATGACCACGGCCCAGCCAGCCCGAGACAGCTCTCTAACAGTGTGGCGGCGGCGCGAGCCGTCCATGAACAGATGCCCCCGGATCCCATCGGTAGGAAGAATGGAGGGAGGAGCAACAGCATCTGACGGGT